TCGAGTTGAGACGTATAAAAACCGTCACAGTGATAATTAGATTTTAGTGCGACAAACGAAGAACAGATGAGACCCCGACGTTGAAAGAGGGATTATTTTGTCCCACGAGTCGACCGAGAACTGTTCCCTAAAACGTAATTTATTTATCTTAACGCAAATGTTATATTTACGAAGTAATGTTCAATGGAAATGATTAAAAAATAAAGCAACATTGAGCCATCTGAAACGAATCAATCACCACAAGAGAGATAAAAGGATTGGTCTTGGTCGTAACGAATTTCTTTGTTTTCCGTCCGCTTTGTGAAAAATATTAATATTCTTTCTTGATCATTTGTTTCTCGGAATGATATTAAAGGGTAAACTCGAGCTGTTATGGTGAAGCAATTAAACTACAGAAAGCAATTAAGATTATACTGTGCAGTTTTCGGTATCAGTAACATCTTAATATTCGAGCCTCTGAATGGAATAAATTATGGACGGGCTGCCATAAGTCATAAATTAGGCATTTATAAAGCAATTTACCACAAAAATAAATGCGGGACAGCTTGACGTATACATGTTTCCGAAGATGTTACGAGATCAATAAATCTGCAGTCGCATTTTGCATCGCTCAAAAGATTTTGAGATTAAATTATCATTGCTGGTGGAACCAAAAGAGAAAAATATATATCTGTTACAAAATACCCACGTATCACGTGTCTTAATTTGCTCGTTTAATTCGTTTAATTCGCTCTGGAAGCAAAAGGAATAGAAAAAACTAAAAATGTTAAAATTTTGGAAAGGACTTGTTTTGGTTAGAAAACTAACCGATACTACTGACAGGTTCAAATTCTTGCATGCCGATTTTTGTCACTTGTGTTACTTAATATTTAAGCAGGACAACCGTGCCCTGGAATGTGATTTTGATGTAGAGTTGAAGCTGTTAAAATGTTGCTATATAGAGAAAAAAAAAAACTAGAGTTGGAGCCACTTTTTTGCCCTATGGTGGTCCTAATAGGACCAGAATGATGCGGGAGCGACATCAGCGTACGCAAGCAGAGCGGCTTATGCGAAAAGGGGTCGAACGACTTGACAAATGGAACTCTCGTGTCGGTCGCGTTGGGTATTTAGTAGATAATTTGAATGATCCAGTGGCGAACGTGATCCCTGTGTCGAGATTGCCACGATAATCTGCTACGTCGACCAGGGAAGGACGCAAAACATATCGCAAGTTCGAATTTGATAAAGAAAAAATTATTCTTCGATTAGGCGTCAAACATTTTTTCAAAATTCCGCGTGTCGCAAAATGTATTATTTTGTACGATATTGAGTCGAAAATTCTCCCACCAAATTAAATTTACCCCAGAGTGCAGGGTGGGCGCCTTATTAGGGGCCTCTACCTTGTCTCAGGAACCACTGATTCTAGAAAAAAAAACTTTATACGAAAGTTTTATGGTTTAAATTAAATTTTAAAATTATTTATTTTTTATATACGCAGGGTGTCCTATAATTGCTGGACCGACATTAGTTTTAAAATTTTAAATGGAACACACTACATATTTAAATACTTTTATGGAATTTTGTGTAGTTTATTAAAGGACACTTTTTTAAAATTTCAATTTGCAGTGTTCTTCTTTTGAGACGCAAATATTTTTGATATTTTTTCTCAAAGCGGGTTAAATTACCTATAATTTGGTATATATAGGTCCTATACCTAAATCTAATGAAATACTGACACCTAATTATTTTAACGAATTTAAAAAAAAAGCAATTAATTAATTTTAAGGAATTTTGCAATGGATGAGAGGTCTTTTTTTGGGTAAGGTAATACAGAGATTTATAGGTTTAGGAAATTAAAACGTCGTAATTTTTATTATTGTGACAGAAGTTTAAAAATTTAGAACAAGTAACAGTAACAAGCAAAGTAACAAACAACGGTAACTGTAACATTTTTGATTTTTGATTTTGATTTGAAAATTGAGTGATGTCGTTTACCCGGTGATACCGAGCGCCATCTTGCTGCCATATTAATTAAGCACGTTCACAAACGGGCATTTCATTTACTATTTATGGTTGTATTTCATCTCTGAGCATTTTTAAATGTCGTCTAGAGTTTAAGTTTCCATTAAAGAAAATTGGCCCTATAATCTTTGATCGGCATATTCCGCACCACACTTTCACAGATGTGTGTGTGTGTGTGTTTTTACTAAGATCATAATTTTACATTAAAAAATGTTATAATCTTAATTTCTGTCGGAACTAAAAAGTTACCTTTATTTTTGGCAAAGATTCTAAAAATAACAAAATATATAGGGTGTCCCATTTAAAATTTTAAGACTAGTGTTGGTCCAGCACTTATCGGACACCCAAATAAATAATTTTAGAATTTAATTTAAACCATAAAACTTTTGTATAAACTTTTTTTTAATAAAATCAGTACGTCCTGAGAAAAGGTACAGGCCCCTAATAAAGTGCCCACCCTGTACAAGGGGTCATTTTAAAAGTAGGCTGAAATTACCTACATTATACCGAATTTTGTACTTTCTGCCTCGCAAAATTATCTCTATGTCATAGAGTTTATATATTTTTAAACAAAAGCCTCTTTTAGTATAATGTAATGTTAATCATATAATTATAATAACCCTTTCATTGGACGTTAGACTTGTTTTAAAGTTTCTGTAGAAATAAAATTTATTATTTTGTATTCAGTCGACAATTTCCCCGGCACACTAAATTTACCCCAAAATGCAAGGAATATTTTTGAAAATAGTCTCAAATGACCCATTTATATGTCTATGTCTATGGCATGGCGTTTAGATAGTTTTAAACAAAAGTCTCTTTATATATCCCTTAAGAATTTGTTAAATTAATCCATAATATCAAATATGAAATATTAAATCGGATCAGCCTGTGGAGGAGTAAAATCTCAATAGGTTGCCTTACTGAAAATGAACATCGACATTTGAAGCGAAAATATTAAACGCCAGATATCATTTTTAGTATTATAAAATCCACTATGAAGGAAGGAATAAAGCACTCCCATAAATTAAAAGGATTTAAAAAGCGCCAAGATATCGCTTAGCGGAGAATATAAAACTTTTTCGTGTTTATGCTTTGGGGAATTTGGATTTTTTTTTCTCGTTAAGGGAGTAAAATAATATTAATTCGTAATTCGAATTACCCGATATACCAAAAATTATCTACGCCCAAAATGGTTTTAAATTAGTTTAGCAAAATAGCAACGAAGCAGTCTCCAAAAACGTGAGATCGCCCGAATATGTGCCGCGACCGCAAATTTTATAATTCGGACGTCCAAGATTTCTCAATTGGGGTTAGTTAGTGACTTTTTTGGTTACGTGAGCGGCGAGGAAACATTTTCCGGCTAACAAAATTCGCCGCATTTATCCAAACACAAGAACAAATCATTTTCGACTTTATCGGAACCCTTTTACAACCTGATTTTAATCTGCTTCCCCTCACAATTTTACTCAATAAAAACGTATCCAATATGTTTTTATCGCCTTCAAAAGTATTTCCAGGAAAGCAATATATAAAATGTATTCCTATATTTTTCTTTACATCGTATTTCGTATTTCAGGGGTTAAAAAATAATATATAAATAGAAATAATTACCACCAATTTAAATAATTATCAAAATATCAAATATTGACCGATTAAGACAGCAAAAAAATAATTATCTATTGACTTAAAATTAAAATGTATCAATTTTAAACCCAAACTGGTGCTGAAATCGGCGAAATAGCAATATCAATTATTTAACAGTAGAACGTAAAACATATTTCGGTAATTAATCAGTTATTGAAATTATCACCAACCATATTATGGACGAGAAAACTATGTTGAAATATGAAATAAAATACATACATTTCGTACAATAAACTTAAATCTAAAATTAAAATATTAATGAAAGAAAAGAACCTAAAAAAGGAGAATAAAATTCACCTTTTTGATTTGTTCAGGATGTGTTTTTTTTTTTGGCATTTTGAATGGAAAACAAAATCATTGCAAATGTTGAATGTTTTCCTGCGTGGGAATACACCATTTTTAAGTCGGGTCAATTTTACACTTAAAAGGGGTCTTTTGTGCTGTATAGTCCGACTGTTAATTTAGGAATGAACGAAAAGAATTGACGGGGAATCGAACAAAAAATTTTTAAAATCTTTTGGTTGTTAGAAGCAAGCAGTGCTGATTACAATTTCTTATTTGCGCGTAATGAATTGAAGCCTTTTAAAAACGAAGTCGTTGAACAAGAGAAGGTTTCAAGAATAAAACGGCTCGAATCGATGTATACCGGAGCTACTTAAGAAAATATAGGGAACAAAAAATAACGAAATCTAGTGGCATTTCACTGACTAAAAAGTTAAATTTTATCGTCGTCTTCAAATGGGGTCTATAAAATTGATAGAAACTTGTTAATTTGGTCACTTTAATGAACGCGTGAGCTTTAGAATTAGGAAATAATAAGACTAAATAGAATTTTAAAAGTAGAAAACTGAAAAAAACAAATGCCCTTCGTAGGACTGAAAGGGAAAGGATTCTTCAGATTGGTTAGCCTACATTTGGTATGGTCTGTTCATAGATATAAGAAAATGATAAATTGCTTTTGAATGGGATTATCCAAGGGTGGTCATTAGCATACAATGCAACAAGATTATTATTTATTATTTTCTATTACGGACCACAAGTTTACCTGAATTTAAATTCTGAAACTGTAGGTAATAGTCTTGTTGCATTGTATGTTAATGACCACCCTTGGATAATCCCATTCAAAAGCAATTGGTCCCTTTCTTATATCTATGAACAAACCATACCTAATAATGGAACAGACAATTATTTGGTGTTCAAATTTATTACATGTAAAGTAATCGTTGGAGTAGTGAAGTCACATTTTTGAACCTCATTTTTTACCTTGCATCCCTAAAGATTCGTTAAATTACATGGTATCGCTTCAATAACCCCAAAACGGCAAGCGACATTGAAATAGGATCGTGCATACTCACTATATAATCTGATGGTACCGTCCGTTTCACCCCTTGGATTTTTGGCAACGCATTTGTAGGTGCCGTAGTCGTTCGGTTGAATATTATTAATGGTGAGTCTCATGTGTGTTTTGTAATCTGGTGTACCAATGATATTTTCCGCGTGGTACTTCTTCGACTCGTAGATCATTTGTCCGTCCTCCTTGGTCCAATAATTAAGGGACGTTGGATGCGCTTCTGTGAAACATTCCAAAGTTACGGAATAAGCCAGAGGTGCTCCGACAAGCTGATGTGGTATCCACAACATCGGAGGAACTGCAACAATAAAAGCGGTGTTATACTAGTCTGCGGCAATCTCATCCGGTCTGTTTTGAAAACCGAGCGTTCAAACCCGACGGCGTTGTTTTCTAAACTAATTAGGGTTAAAGGATTTCGAAAAGTGATATTGACCATTTAAGCTCGTGAGCATGCTGGACATTAAGTAATTAGACAGTCAGGTTTGTTTCGGAAATTATCTTATGTTTAAAATAAACATGGTGCTTTTACAATGATAATGGAACATTAAGTACAAAAAAAGGGTATTAGAAAATAAGTAATAATGAAATATTTACAACGACACACTAACAATTATACCATCATTTAATTAACAAAGTAAAACTTATAAGTAAGTACCTACCTATATCTACGATAAGCAGAAGATAAAAAAAATAATAATAATAACAATCAAACTTACCAAACTAAACCAAAACTAACACTGTATATTAAGTGCGTGAATTACAAAAAACAAATGTGAAAAAATAAGGAAAACAAATCAAAAATTAAAACAAATTTATAGAAAAACCCTAATTGCCTGATTTCGAAACGAATTAAGTGATAACGCAAAGATGTCAATGTGCGAAAAATAATTATTGTAATGTCTATGTAAAAGAGATATTGGGGAATTGTTACCTAAGTTTGTATTAAATCTAGGCACGTAAAATAATGAAGGAGTTCTTGTTATAACGACTCTGGCATTGAAGGATAGTTTTTCCAACAGTAAAGGACAGTCAATCCTACTATTAATAATATTATGCAAAAATATAGCACTGGAGATAATTCTTCTAACAGATAACTTCAGTATATGGTAAAAATTAAGACTAGCTTCATACGAATGAGTTAGTAAGTTACGGTTAAATCTAAAATTTAAATGGAAAACAAACTTTTTTTGTATTCTCTCGATTCTGTCTATATATTTATGATACTGAGGACTCCATATCACACCGCCATAGTCAAGGTGAGATCGAACGTAGGAATTGTATAGAATAATAAGCGATTTGTGATCCTGAAATTCCTTGCTAACTCTTAATATAAAACCTAAATTTTTATACGCTTTTTTTACTATATTCTCAATGTGGATATCAAAACTTAATTTTACATCTATAGTTATTCCAAGATCCCTAATCTGCTCTACTTTTTTTATTTTTACACCATTGAATGGTTAGTCAAAGTTTATATCATTTATCCGCCTGCTGAACTTAAGACAGTAACATTTATCAATATTTAAAAATAGACGATTTTTTACACAGTATTCATAAAAACGATCAAGATCTTCTTGAAACTTATGACAGTCGTTAAGGCTTTTCACGGGCGCGTATGATTTCTGATCATCTGCATATGATGCTGATTTAGCAAAAAGAAAACATTTACTGACATCTGCGATAAACAGTGAAAATAACAATGGTCCCAAATGGGACCCTTGAGGAATTCCAGATGTGATGCGGGTCGTTTGGGATTTTGCAGAATTCAATTCTACAAACTGAGTCCGAGGACTGATGTAGGATTGAAGAATTTTATAAAGACAACCGTTATTGCTTAACCAAAATAATATCACTCTAAAATCCAAATACAATTATTATAATAACAGGCTAGGAAGATTAATTGCGAACAAAAATAAATAAACGAAATTAGAAATGACCATCACAAAAAGTTGATAGATAAGAGACCAATAGCTGGCGAATTTAATAAATATTTCGACAGAGAAAAATTAAAAAAAAAACTGAGTTACAAATGCACCGAAGATTCGTGAAAAATTCAATGTTTTTACATGACACAAATGCGACTGAAGTGGAAAAAATTATAAAATCATTATAACCAAAAAAATCTCCAAGTTGGGGTAACATTCGATCAAAAACAATATAGACAGATGCTTCCGGGACAGTTACTTTCCTAATTGCCTAAAAACTGGAATTATCATACCAATTTATAAAGATGTAAACTACTGGCCAATCACAGTTTTGGCAAATTTTTTCGAAAATTTTTGAAACGATAATTAAAGTGAGAATTGTTACATTTTTGGATAAAAACAAGGTTCTCTCTGCCTGGCAGTTTGGTTTTCGAAAATATGTGATGGTATAGACTCAAGTAAACCAAACCAAGTAAAACAAATTAAAACTTATCCAACTGAACAACTTTATAAGAAAAGTAAGTTGTTGCATAAACGAAACTGTACTGCCAGACTACCTTGAATAATCTAATAAAAGATCTGCGAATGAATTTTTATACATTTTATAAAATTATTTGTTATTTGGAATAAACTTATATTACTATACGTTTTTTTTGCTTAGTAATGATCACTCTACGATAATTAAAGAAAAAGTAACGGAGCGGTACCAACAAGAAATGCATTGTATTTAAGAGAGAGATAAGCTTATTTCTTTTCCTCTATCCTTCTATATGCAGCAGGAAGCATTTTATAGTATGTTTGGCAGGGATGAGAAAGTTATTTTTTTATAGAAAAAGTAAATAGGTCTGCTTTAAAAGGAGGTTAGTATTATCAGCAATTTTTGGTGGTCCTGAACAAAATAACATTTCAGATTCATCGTTTTTAATAAATACGTGAAATTAGTTTTTAACCATCGTTCAGTTATTATAAGTGAAAAAAATAAACAGGTTTAGAATTCCCGAAGCTCTATGTTTTTACGAACCGTGTTTTCGGGTATTAAAAAGCACAAGACAGTCGGTGTTCGTATAAATTTGCGGTTGTGTGTGTAAACATCTCGTCGTGCATTTATCAAATAAAAGGTCCGAATTTGAGGTAGAAATAGTAGTGTTTTGTTCCGGGCGGTTGTGCAAATATTTCGAAAAATAGTCCGCACAAAGTATTTGTTGGTGTACCGCGAAATTTAGTGTTTTAGTGTTTTGCTGCCGCAAGGTGTTGCAAAAGTGAGTGAGTGAGAAGAAAGAGGAAAATTTCAGTAATAATCTCTGAAATCTCCTGATCCTCAAGCGTAAGAGGAAACAGTAGTGTTTAACTCTGAAATATTATCAGAAATAGAGCAGCAATCAGCGTTCGAGTTGTTTCATCTTGTATTTTTATTTCGATGAATAGTAGAAAAGCATAATAGTAAAAAAAAAATAAAAAAAAATACAAAATATGACTATATTCCGACACAGGTAGGAATAGGCTTTTAATTACAGGTATAGAGTTATAAATTAACAACGGAGACGCATTTAAATCCAACTGATCATTAAGTAATAAATTCGAATATCTCATTTTGTTAATTTTCGTAGCTTCCAACAAATTTAGTTCTTAGCTTTTTGAATGATTATGTAAAATATCAAAATTATCGTCAAAGTTGTGCATTTCTGAATTTAGCATAGTTAGAATCCGAACTTTTATTTTAATACAAGACAAGATCCACATTGTAGAATCCTAGAATCCAGATTTTTGAGTTTTTCGTAATTTAGTTTTATTGTTTTTTAGAAAACGTCCTTTGGTGTTTTCAGTTTTAAAAGCAATATTAATACCAAATTTAAATAGATGTTATTGTTTTATAAATTTTGTTTTCGGTGTTTGCTATGGGATAGATAGATTTCAGAGTTATTTGAAACTGTTTTTTAGTTATAATCTTAGAGGAGTCGTAACCATTGTTAAAAGCTATAAATTTTATAATATTTAATTCTTTTTCAAAAATTTCTTTAGAAAGTAGTCTGTTGATAAAAGCATAAAAGGCAGACATTTTGCGTGTGTAAGGGTGGTTTGAGTTCTTATGTATTATTGTGTCCGTGTGTGAGGGTTTATGGCAAATGGAAAAATCTAACTTGTATTGTAGTTTAGTTATACTTAAGGCCAGAGAGTTATCTTGTTCCGTCTCCATTGTACATTTTATGCGGTTATGTATCGAGTTAATATGATTCAAAAAGGACTGCAGTTGTCATTCGGTTTCAGTGAAACAAGCAAAAACATCATCTAAGTATCTATACCACCAGAGAAATCCTTTACGCAGAGGATGTTTATGTATGATATTTTCTAAATTATCCATGAAAATTTCTGCAAGTAGTGGACTAAGTGAGTTTCCCATAATTAACTTAAGCAATAAAATTTATAACGGACAAACAGGTAGAACATTTAAAAAATGCATTAACGAACACAAAAGGGCTTTTTAAAAAAAACTTTGACGATAATTTTGATATTTTACATAATCATTCAAAAAGCATTGGAACCCACAAGTAATGAGAACCCGCATTATTCACAATTTTACACCAGTATTCTGCCATTTTCTTTCGATATCACACACCCTCGCTGTTCAGCATTTAAATAAATTAAATAAGTATCAATGAAACGTAATTCAGTTTTCCATCCGTCTTTTTGTTTTCCGCTTCTGGCGGATCTTCGCCAAAGGGTGAACCTGAATATCCGACCGCAAACTTCGCGAAAACTGTAAATTTAAGCTTATTTCATGAATGTCCTTTCGTTAAATGGCGGCACCCGAGTCCTCAAATTCATTTTATCTCGGTCTCTCTTTGCAGTTTTGTTCCTTGTGGGAAGAAGAAAAAAAAATTGCCGACCCAACAGGAGTTTAAACTGTTCTATAATTTATCGCGAATTACTAAACTGCTAAAGTATTCCAAGGCCATTGCGATTCATTACAATTACAAGAAACCCAAAAGTTGTCCTTAATTATTACAGACAGGCGGTGGAATATTTTACAAAAGTTTTGGGCGAATGCTTAACAAAAGTGAAACAACGCAAGATGAAATGAAATTATTAACTTATGCACCCGCCCTGCTTATTATTTATACAGTGCGTCGTGGAGTGGCCTAAAAAAGTTCGTTAGGAATTGCGAAAGAAGAGCAAAACTGTCACCGAAGTGCCGCCCTTTTGGGTTTTATTATCTGCGTTTGGTTTTGATTACAAATCAGTTACACATTAAGAACAATTTTATATCTAACAAATCGCTGTTATTATTCCATGCAAAGTATCTTCATTAGAGTATAAAACATTTTCATGCGTGTAACATGACATTAATTATTATTTTCCGAGAAGCAAATCTTTA